AAGTTACCTTGCCTAGCCTTATCCTCACTCATTTCCCTAGCTACATCATCGAATTTGGCTCCATTCCGTATCTTCTCGAGCGCCTCTTCCTTTTTCGAGTGCTTTTCGCACAGGATGTGGCGGACGTTGATGCTGGTTGCTGGTTTGAGTTTGCCGCCACCGCTGCCACTACCCTTTGAAGCATCTGTCTTGGAGGAGTCGTCTTTGCCTTTGCCTTTGTTCTTGGGGGCCATGGTTGCTGTTTATTTCTTGTTGGTTTGTTTGGAGTTAGGGCTGGAATATATATATATATATATATATATATATATATGTGGGTGGGTGTGTGGGTGTGTGTATATGTGGGATGGTAAAGGGGAGGAAAGGGTAGTATGTAGGTAACGAGGCTGGCTGGGTGTTTGGACTTGGTAAAGTGTAGTACTCGGGGTTCAGCGGGCGAGCGCCTTTGTTTCAAGAACACGCAACAAAATAAAGTCACACACCTCACCAGTGTAGACTGATACGAAAAGGTGAAGGCAGATGCAAGCTCCGAGCTCCGAATTGCGGGGCAGTTCGGATGGAATGTGGATCCTTTTTAAAAGTGGGGTGTTCGTCAAAAGAGACAAGGATAATCCCTAAAATATCAAAAACAGCCCATGCAATCACATTCTGGGCGAGAATCCAAAGGTCAAACACGAAAATTTCCTAATTTCCCATCATGCATTGATTTTTTGACAAAGTTGTTCTCTTGGCTTTCATGCTTATTTCACTTGAACCTGCCCCCCCTCCCCTTCCTCTCCAATCCATCCGCCCTTTTTCTGGGTCGCAGACATGAGCAAAAATAATTCTAATGTGGGCCGGAATCGTTACGTTTAGATGGAAATTATCGTAACGCCGTAGCCTTCCAACAAAATGCTGATGATGATTGGCGTTCCATGCCAAGTACATAGCTCATGGATGTGAGAACAAGCAAGGTTGCAAAATGCAATTCCGCGGCCGACTTCTACGTATTATGTCCCCCTGGACTCATTCCAGACCTCGATTAGACGCTCCAACCCTGCTGTCGGCCCCCTCCGCTGGCGCGGCAATTTGTGCTACTGTTTGGGCCGTTCCGAGCTAATTGTGACTAGTGAACCTAAATGCTTTCGTTTCTTCAGCCGTTGCCGTTGATGATGGTAGTAGTAGTAGTAGCGGTGGTGGTGGTGCGAGCAGCATTGTTCACTCCATTTTGGGAGAGCACAATATCCATGAAGCTCTTGCGAGGCTTGTGCTTCTTCTCCGGCAGCTCGTCGTTGATATCGGCCAAATGGATTCGCCGTCTCTTGCACTCAGCACGCATGTCGTTCAGCAACGGGCGGAGTGCTTCCACCTTGTCCACTTCAGCAAACAGTAGGGATTCCTCAACCCAATATAAACCTTCCATTGCTGCAAATTGGTTCCTGGCCTCTTTGATGCTCTCTTGAATTTTCGCGTAGTCAAAGTCTGGAGCACCTTCCATGGGGAATCGGAAATCCTGAGCTAGAAGTGCAACGTCGTATTGCCGGAGGATTGCATCTCGTTGTGTACGATTGACGGGAATTCGGGTCCAGTTTGAGTAAGGGGCATCGAGGTGAGCTAGATCGAGTTCAGGCAGTCCAAGAATGCCGACTACTTGGAATGAGCAGACGTAGGTCTTGCCGGGCAAGGCCTGTGAGTCCTTGAGATCTTGAGCGTTTGCGTAGAAGAGTGGCAGGAAGACAGCTGAGACGCCGAGCTCTTCGCCTGAAAAGTGGAGTGGTCGATTGGTACCTAGTTCGCAGGCTCGCCGTAGGGCTCGAGGGAGCTTTGAAATACGATTCTGGCGTTCCAGCAGTTCTTTCTGACGCTTGGCCTCTTCTTCCGCTTGCCGCTGCGTCTCCTCCTCTTTTTTGATACGAGCAGCTTCCGCTTGCTCTGCTTGACGTCGGGCTTCTGCTTCGGCCTCTGCCTTCTTCTTTGCTTCTTCTGCTTCTGCAACCTTACGAGCGGCGTCTTCTGCTTCCTTGTTTTTGGCCTCGGCCTCGGCTTCGGCCGCTGCCTGGGCGGCTTTCCGTTTCGCTTCTGCCTGTGCTTGTTGCTCTTCCTGACGCCTCAGACGCTCCACCTCAGGTGTCGCTACCCTTTCAGGTGGAGCCGGTGTCGACTTGGCAGATACAGTGGGAGTCCTCTTCACACTAGTGTCATCGGCTGATGCATCCGACAGCCTCCGTTTTCTTATCTTCTCCTCCACAGTCTTGTATTTAATTTTGTTCTTGATCATCTTCCGTTCGTCAGGTGAATCGACCTCTGGGGTTGGTTTGGCGCTGATCGGTTTGGATGGCTTCACAGCTGCTTTGACCGGAGGTTTTGCGCCGTGGTCTTCATCGCTTTCGTCTGACCGTGCATGAACCGGACGTTTGGATTCATTGTCGTCTGAGCGTGCTTTCAGAGCTTTCCTGACCGGTTTTGCCTCTTCGCCTTCGCCTTCGCTGTAGGACCGCCGCTTGACTTTGCGTGTAGGCGGCCGTACGTCTTCCTCGCTCTCCTCTTCAGACGAGTCGTCTTCTACGACACGTTTCCTCCTCTGACCCTCTCGAGAGGCCTTTTCCTTCCCGGACATTAACCGTCGTGACTTTTGAGGCGCGGAGGATACAGTATTGGATTTTGGAAAGTTGGCGCGTTTCGGCTCGGCTTGAGGTGACGAGGAGCGTTCCCGTCGTGGAGATGGTTTTCTCTTGACGCGATTGGCCGCAGGGACCGGTGCTTCTTTTTTGGTTCTTCGTGGACTTCGATGAGTTTTTTGGTACTCTTCACAAGCGCGTTTCAGCATGTCCCTCTCTTCTTCCCATTTTGGACCATGTCGTTCTTCTGAGATTTCATAGTACGTCTTGTTGTCTTTGTTCCTCCGCGTAGGGTTGAAGTTGTCTTGCTCAAGAAGTAGCTGTATGATCTTCAGGTATCCACGCCCAATGGCGACTGTCATGGGCGTCTCTGGGTGTTTGGATGGGTCGGGATCGGCCTTCAAGCCGCTAGCCAATAGAATGCTAAGGATGTCGTAATGTCCACCTCTGGCTGCTGCAACTCCGCAGGTGATGTTTGGCTTGATGTTACTGTTTATCAGTTCTCCCACGGCCAGGATATCTCCGTCTCCAGCCTTTTCGATGAGGGTTTCGACATTGAATTCGTTGTACAAGAGGCGAGAAGCAGTTTTGGCCTGTTTCTGGGTTCGCTCTTGGTCGTTGGTAGAGGTATCCACTCGTTGCCTCATTGCTTCTCTTAGTTCTTTTTCAATCTCAGGCGCGTCCTCGTCTTCAGGGTCAAGAACGTCAATGGCGCGCTGGCCTTTTTTGTTCGAGTGGTGGGGATTGACTTGGCCCTGGTTGAGCAAAAGCTTCACTACGTCTAGATGCGAGTTTTCGACTGCATCGATGAGCGGCGTGTCACGGTCGTGACTCTCGCAGTCGGTACGGCAGCCTTTGCTTATGAGATAACGGACCACAGGCGCCCAGCCATGCAGCGAGGCTTTTTGCAATGGAGTGATTCCAGCATAGTCGGGCTGGTCCAGCTCGTCTGGTGCCTCCTCGTAAGCCTCTTTGACCGCGTCCAAATCGCCCTTTTCACTCTCTCGAGCAAGACGGGTGGCACCAAACCGATCTATCTTTCGGTGGGGCATGGTACGCGCAGGGGAAGTGAGAGCGCGATGTGTGGAGCGCTTTACTCGGACATGCTGTTGCAGATGGGGTGCAGACAATGGCTGGGGCGAGGTTGAATGATCTGAGCTGGAACCTGACCAATGCTCCTCGTTGGACAGAGCAAGGTTGGTGACTTCGCGGCGCTTGCGACCGGCAATGCCTGTGGCGGTGGATTGGGTGGACTGGGAGCGTTTGTGTGGGCGGCCAAAGCCTGGCGTGTCGGTCTTGGCTTTCTGTCGCGGAGGCTCAAACGGAAACGAGTCATCGCGTAGCTTGCGCTTGCGATTGTCAACAGTCGAGGCACTGCGGCCACGCGATTTGGCGACCTCGTTGGGGCTGGTGTCCTTTGTGCGCGTGTTTGGAGACGAAGGGGCCGGGCTCTTTGCGCCGTTGATTTTGACGTGGTTGGTGGTGCGTTGGCGGCCGTTTGGCTGGGGCGAGTGCAGACGCGGCTCCTCTTTGATGGAGCGCAGGCGTGTCGCGTCGCTGTTGCTGTGGTCGTCGTCATCGTCATCATCGACGCGTTCCGTCTTGATCAGCTTGGAGTC